TTGCTGAGCTGATGTTGCTCGCCAAGAAGGAAGTCGCGGAGCGGACCTTGTTCGGCTGACTTTGGAGTTCCTTGCCGAGCTGATCTTGCTCGCCAAGAAGCAAGTCGCCGAGCTGACCTTGCTTCTCGGCTTCGAAGTTCCTCGCCGAGCTTATCTTGGTCTCCAAGAAGCAAGTTGTCGAGCTGACCTTGCTCACCGACTTTGGAGTTCTTTGCCGAGCTGATCATGCTCGCCAAGAAGCAAGTCACCGAGCTTATCTTGGTGACTCCTATTATTTTTTTATTTATGATGGATCCTACATATACATATGGCATTTGTTGAGTAGATACACAAGATAAAGCCATGTACTACATATGGTAACAATATCTTCCGTAGTCAGTCAATCTCAGCAAAAGTGGAAACCCTGCTACAAGTAATCAAATCAAATCAACCACGGTATACTTTGATCAAAGCAAAGTTGACATAATTGTTACATATGCTTATGAACTAATGCAACCAGACAACCCGTTTACAGTGGGTACAAATAAGCACCAAATGTCTTGGGTCCATATATATTAACGAACTGGTATTTAGGGTAACTCCTCTATTATCAGAATCTTACGATTCACGATTCGATTCACAATTTTTGCAAAATCGATACGAATCTATGAGTGAAACTATTTTGGAAGTGAATCTCTAGTGAATTGCACGATTCACTTTTTATGATTCCTGCAATTTTGAAATTATTGTGTCCGACACATTTTCGACTCTATTTTTCTCCATCTTTTTATTGAAAATGACACAATACAATTTCTAATAGCACTTAATACCAAAATAACCAACATATATACATGATTTGTTGTTATTTTAGTGATCATGAAATTTTTAATAGGATCCAATCAGATTTAGTCAGACCCAACATATTTTTAACATTTCTTCTCATTTTTTGTCCCTTTAAAAAATCGTAATATATTTTCTAAAAATGTTTAAGATTAAAGTTACACTATGAATTATCTATTACTATTTTATTAAATTGAATATTACATGTGTGAGGTCAGTTATACCTTTTAAAATGTTTTAAGCTTTAAAATAAAATATTCTAAATAATTTTTTCTTATTATTTGCTCACTATTACTTAGAAAAGTATGCATACTTATTGTCCAAATATCAATATCGTTGGTAATTAAGGTTACTTTAGAATTGATAGTTTGTCTATTTGGTTATTATCTTTATTAAGAACGTGGATAAGAAATATCTAAACAAGAAAAAAGAAAGAAAGATGGTAATCTTACATAGGAACTTTTGTTAACTAAACAACATGATCATCATTCAAATTTAACATTTTTATTGATTTAAGTCTAAATATTTTATATTCATAAGATATATTTAACATTTAAATGTGTAGATATATGCTTTTAAGTAATTTAGAAAGGGTGACCGAATCTTTACGATTTGCGATTCGATACGAGACTATTTTGATTAACGATATGAATCCCGATTTGATAACTATGGGTAACTCTTTAACCGATCAACCAATTTGACTACAAATATACCAATTATTTAACATGATAATGGAAAACGGTTGGCATGGCCTGTCACAAGGGAAGAAATGTTAATACAAACTGAAAAAGAATGAATAAGAACGGTGAAAACAGATTAAATGAACCATCACACGGCAAAATCCTAGAACAACCAATACCACAACAAAAGAAGGGAAGAAGCAAAATTTTCATCCTGTATTTTTGTTATTGAGTGAGAATCTTTTTTTATTTTTTTTCAAATGCAAAAACCAAATTAGTCCAAGTATAGAAATTCAAAAGATCAGCTCTTGCTATTAAATTAAATCAAGTTCGCCCAGTAGTACAGTTATGGGCCATTACATGCCATCAACCATTTCTTATCACTAGTGTTGTGTTGACTGATTTGCCAATATTCTTCTCAAATATTTACCAATTGCTAATCAAAGAAAAAAAAACCTGGCTTGTTTACCTCAAATATATTCAGCACTATATCAAGCAGCACCAGAAGTTGTACTTCCAATTGTTTTAAGATCGAAAATCTCAATCCAATAGCCATCAGGATCCTTAATGAATGCTATCCCCTTCATTTTCCCTGCAAGCAGCATGGCATGTTTCTTGACATCAATGATAATTACACAACTATTCATCCTTAAAGTTTTGGTAATACATCCAGCTTTTACAATCCTACCAATAAAGCAATGCAGCATTAGTAATTTTCAGCTAAGGGTGCAACTTTGGCAAGTTCAACCCAAGAAACCTGATCCCAACCTGAAACAAATCATGCTTGGGCAGTGTATTTACGAATTCGAGCCAAGCTTGGGCTAAATTTCTCCAGCCCAAAATAAGTTCAGGCCAGGCCCGGGAAGAAGCCACAGACAACCAGAGCACGATTTATGAAAATTATATATGATAAATACTAATACCTATACAGCTCTGAATGTTAGATTACCGTTGGATTAAATCTTAAGCTGAGATTATTAAAAATCCAGATAGATTACCACTGGATTAAATCTTAAGCTGAGAATATTGAGAACCTCTCACCTGGCTTCCCCTCGCGCTCCCTCCCTCTCTCACAGTCTAACTCTCTGCCTCTTTGTAGACCTGGCACCACTGTCAATGTGCTGCACTGTGACTTCCTACCTTTCCTTCTCAGGTATCTCTCTAGTCGCAGCCCCTCCCCCGCCTCTCTCCATCCTCACAGGTCACTAACACACAATCACCTTCGTTCACATCAGCACCAAGACTTGCTGGTATTTGCACCTCTTGCAAAATCTTAGCTCATGGCTCCTGATAAGGGACCTCAAAGAAGCAATATCCTCCAACCAGGGGGAATCATCTTTCACTAGGACTCAACTCTCAATATAAAGAAGGGAAGAGAGGTTCATTCAAAATGGCGAAGATTGTTTTCTCACATCATATAACTGATTGAGTCAGCTTGAGACATGGTTCTCCCATGCTCATGGATTTGCAGAAATGCAAAAAGGCAGACCAACCTTTTATCTACAAGCAGTCCCAACCTTTTATCTACCATAGTCAGTACGATGTTATCCCTCCTCATCAGCACTTGTAGTTTAAGCTTGAGACTATTTTTTATTGAGGAAGCATCCCATCAGCTTAATTGAATTCTAAAAATGGAAAGAGTAAATTACCATCATCAGGCTTCTTCACAAACTCCACCCCTAGATGTTCAAATCTCCCGCAAGCCTTGTATGTGTCATCGACAGTAATGCCTATGTGTCCTGCAAGCAAAATTAGGGAAGTCAATCGCATGAAATAGTGGTTAGAAACCCAGCATCCAAAAACCAAAAATCATCTTTACAAAGAAAACATCCACATGCCTAAAGAAAATGAGAACAGAGTCAAGCACAGTCAATGAGAATTAATTCCTGACAAGGCCACAACCATCAATCAAGAATAGGCTCATAGCACTTCATATCTAATCTAGTACAGCCCCTTTAAGTTTTATGGAATTTAGAAAAGCCAATTGAAAAGCCTAGCTCACACTTCTTAAAACCCAGGTATTAAGGAGAGAGAAACTAAAGCCTTATAACTAGCACAGATGGGGCAACTCCAGGCGATGTAGGACACATTCCAACACACCCTCCTGGACCACAACATACAGTAACCGGACAAATGACACACCAATCACAAGCCCAACCAAGCTCTGATACCAAATTGAAAAGCCCAGCTCACACTTCTCCTTAAAACCCAGGTATTAAAGAAAGGGAAACTGGGACCTTATAACTAGCACAGATGGGACAACTCCGGGCAATATAGAACACATTCCAACAAAGTCAAGTCACTATAATCATTGTCCGAAGCAGCAACAAGCGCTGATGAGCAGTGGACAATAACTCTTACAAAAACAAGATTCACTTCTTGGGCAGTCCACATTTTAGGAAGTAGACGAGTAAGTTGGCATGGTTTTATTTTGTCTAGTTTTAATGGTTGATGGTTTCAACTTTGATTAGATGAATCAATTCCATGGCGGATTAGTCTAGGCATGGAACAACCTGCAGTACTGAACCTAATCAAAATGATCCAATATGCACTATCAGATTGATGTGGCATTCAACAAATTAGATCAGCAGTGCCAATTGATGGACTTAAAAGTCAACATAAATAGTACGTAGGAATCACATCATAAAAGATACATATGCGCCATTCAAGCCAACATCTAAGAGTTACATACCAAAGCCACAAGGTTCTGAGTTCCCATTATGGTAGCCTTTGAAATCAGGATCACTCTCAGTACCCCAATTACTGTGGCAAGCATTTGAGTGTCAAAATGTTACGGAGAAGGTGAAGAATAAAGAATTGATTTCCACGAGAGAGAAAAAAAATGTGATATCAAAATAAAATATACTGTGTGAGCTCAATTGTAGCCTTCTGACTGGCTGTCCAAACCGTACGATCAACTGCATTTCTGGGAGCTGATGTTAGGTCCTGAGAAAGAGAGAGAGAGAGAGAGAGAGAGAGAGTGAGTGATGTCAAGTTAATTGTTTTTAAGTGAATTCACTACATAGCACCAAAAGGAGGAGCCCATGTATGTGTACTAGTTAAAAAGAAAAAAGTTGTACCATCCTAGAAAGAGCTAATATCTCAAGTTATCAACAATATCCCTAATGCTGTGTGGATCAATGACACTCCATCTAAGTGTTCATCCCTCCCATCAAATGGCCTTCAAATCTGATGACTTTTGCCACAAGTTTTAGTACCCTTCCAACTACCAAACATATCAAGTTGTGTGTTTGGGAGAACCCATCTTACAAGAATATACATAGATATATATACACAGCCTCTCAAGTAACCGTCCAAGGTTTAAAAAGATAATCAACTGTCTCCCTCTTTGCAGAGGGTAGAGCACCAATTAGAAAGTGCCGTCAAGAACATCTTTTCAACAAGAAAATTTAGAATCTCATGGTTTTAGAAGATAGAAATAGATAGAGATACACAGACAAATAAATATATATATGTATATATATATATATATATATTTCATGCTTTTATCATAAATGCATGGCTTATTGGAGGATTTAGGCCCCATTCGGGGTGGTGGCTTTTTGGCTAAAATAGCCCCAAAACACCCAATCATATCGCTCTCTCTATTTTTCTGCACGTCTTTCATAAAAAGTTAGAAATTTAGTTGGCTTTCTAGCTTTTTATAAAAGACGTGAAAAAATAGAGAGAGCGATATGATTGGGTGTTTTGGGGCTATTTTAGCCAAAAAGCCACCACCCCGAATGGGGCCTAAATCCTCCAATAAGCCATGCATTTATGATAAAAGCATGAAATATATATATATATATATACATATATATATATTTATTTGTCTGTGTATCTCTATCTATTTCTATCTTCTAAAACCATGAGATTCTAAATTTTCTTGTTGAAAAGATGTTCTTGACGGCACTTTCTAATTGGTGCTCTACCCTCTGCAAAGAGGGAGACAGTTGATTATCTTTTTAAACCTTGGACGGTTACTTGAGAGGCTGTGTATATATATCTATGTATATTCTTGTAAGATGGGTTCTCCCAAACACACAACTTGATATGTTTGGTAGTTGGAAGGGTACTAAAACTTGTGGCAAAAGTCATCAGATTTGAAGGCCATTTGATGGGAGGGATGAACACTTAGATGGAGTGTCATTGATCCACACAGCATTAGGGATATTGTTGATAACTTGAGATATTAGCTCTTTCTAGGATGGTACAACTTTTTTCTTTTTAACTAGTACACATACATGGGCTCCTCCTTTTGGTGCTATGTAGTGAATTCACTTAAAAACAATTAACTTGACGTCACTCTCTCTGTCTCTTTCTCAGGACCCAACATCAGCTCCCAGCAATGCAGTTGATCGTACAGTTTGGACATTCAGTCAGAAGGCTACAATTGAGCTCACACAGTATATTTTATTTTGATATCACATTTTTTTTCTCTCTCGTGGAAATCAATTCTTTATTCTTCACCTTCTCCGTAACATTTTGACACTCAAATGCTTGCCACAGTAATTGGGGTACTGAGAGTGATCCTGATTTCAAAGGCTACCATAATGGGAACTCGGAACCTCGTGGCTTTGGTATGTAACTCTTAGATGTTGGCTTGAATGGCGCATATGTATCTTTTATGATGTGATTCCTACGTACTATTTATGTTGACTTTTAAGTCCATCAATTGGCACTGCTGATCTAATTTGTTGAATGCCACATCAATCTGATAGTGCATATTGGATCATTTTGATTAGGTTCAGTACTGCAGGTTGTTCCATGCCTTGACTAATCCGCCATGGAATTGATTCATCTAATCAAAGTTGAAACCATCAACCATTAAAACTAGACAAAATAAAACCATGCCAACTTACTCGTCTACTTCTTAAAATGTGGACTGCCCAAGAAGTGAATCTTGTTTTTGTAAGAGTTATTGTCCACTGCTCATCAGCGCTTGTTGCTGCTTCGGACAATGATTATAGTGACTTGACTTTGTTGGAATGTGTTCTATATTGCCCGGAGTTGTCCCATCTGTGCTAGTTAGAAGGTTCCAGTTTCCCTTTCTTTAATACCTGGGTTTTAAGGAGAAGTGTGAGCTAGGCTTTTCAATTTGGTATCAGAGCTTGGTTGGGCTTGTGATTGGTGTGTCATTTGTCCGGTTACTGTATGTTGTGGTCTAGGAGGGTGTGTTGGAATGTGTCCTACATCGCCTGGAGTTGCCCCATCTGTGCTAGTTATAAGGCTTTAGTTAATACCTGGGTTTTAAGAAGAAGTGTGAGCTAGGCTTTTTAATTGGCTTTTCTAAATTCCATAAAACTTAAAGGGGCTGTACTAGATTAGATATGAAGTGCTATGAGCCTATTCTTGATTAATGGTTGTGGCCTTGTCAGGAATTAATTCTCATTGACTGTGCTTGACTCTGTTCTCATTTTCTTTAGGCATGTGGATGTTTTCTTTGTAAAGATGATTTTTGGTTTTTGGATGCTGGGTTTCTAACCACTATTTCATGCGATTGACTTCCCTAATTTTGCTTGCAGGACACATAGGCATTACTGTCGATGACACATACAAGGCTTGCGGGAGATTTGAACATCTAGGGGGTGGAGTTTGTGAAGAAGCCTGATGATGGTAATTTACTCTTTTCATTTTTAGAATTCAATTATGCTGATGGGATGCTTCCTCAATAAAAAATAGTCTCAAGCTTAAACTACAAGTGCTGATGAGGAGGGACAACATCGTACTGACTATGGTAGATAAAAGATCGAGACTGCTTGTAGATAAAAGGTTGGTCTGCCTTTTTGCATTTCTGCAAATCCTTGAGCATGGGAGAACCATGTCTCAAGCTGACTCAATCAGTTATATGATGTGAGAAAACAATCTTCGCCATTTTGAATGAACCTCTCTTCCCTTCTTTATATTGAGAGTTGAGTCCTAGTGAAAGATGATTCCCTCTGGTTGGAGGATATTGCTTCTCTAAGGTCCCTTATCAGAAGCCATGAGCTAAGATTTTGCAAGAGGTGCAAATTCCAGCAAGTCTTGGTGCTGATGTGAACGAAGGTGATTGTGTGTTAGTGACCTGTGCATATCCCGCATGTACTAGTTCATATTTTTTGTGAACAATCACCAAAATCATTTGATCCTTTCCAATAATTTATTTACTTCTTTTTCTTTTTCTTTTTTTGTGAGGGGGGTGAAATTGGGAAAATGGGGGAGTGCATGTTTGATATGGAGAAAAGGGGTTGAAGATGGAGAGAGGCAGGGGAGGGGCTACGACTAGAGAGATACCTGAGAAGGAAAGGTAGGAAATCATAGTGCGGCACATTGACAGTGGTGCCAGGTAGAGAGGCAGAGAGTTAGACTGTGAGAGAGGGAGGGAGCGTGAGGGGAAGCCAGATGAGAATTTCTCAATATTCTCAGTTTAAGATTTAATCCAATGGTTATCTATCTGGATTTTTAATAATCTCAGCTTAAGATTTAATCCAACGGTAATCTAACATTAAGAGCTGTATAAGTATTAGTATTTATCATATATAATTTTCATAAATCGTGCTCTGGTTGTCTGTGGCTTCTTCCCGGGCCTGGCCTGAACTTATTTTGAGCTGGAGAAATTTAGCCCAAGCTTGGCTCGAATTCGTAAATACACTGCCCAAGCATGATTTGTTTCAGGTTGGGATCAGGTTTCTTGGGTTGAACTTGCCAAAGTTGCACCCTTAGCTAAAAATTACTAATGCTGCATTGCTTTATTGGTAGGATTGTAAAAGCTGGATGTATTACCAAAACTTTAAGGATGATAGTTGTGTAATTATCATTGATGTCAAGAAACATGCCATGCTGCTTGCAGGGAAAATAAAGGGGATAGCATTCATTAAGGATCCTGATGGCTATTGGATTGAGATTTTCGATCTTAAAACAATTGGAAGTATGACTTCTGGCGCTGCCTGATATAGTGCTGAATGTATTTCACGCAAGCATGGCAGGTTTTTTTTTCTTTGATTAGCAATTGGTAAATATTTGAGAAGAATATCGGCAAATCAATCAACACAACACTAGTGATAAGAAATGGTTGATGGCATGTAATGGCCCATAACTGTACTACTGGGCGAACTTGATTTAATTTAATAGCAAGAGCTGACCTTTTGAATTTCTATACTTGGACTAATTTGGTTTTTGCATTTGAAAAAAAATAAAAAAAGATTCTCACTCAATAACAAAAATACAGGATGAAAATTTTGCTTCTTCCCTTCTTTTGTTGTGGTATTGGTTGTTCTAGGATTTTGCTGTGTGATGGTTCATTTAATCTGTTTTCACCGTTCTTATTCATTCTTTTTCAGTTTGTATTAACATTTCTTCCCTTGTGACAGGCCATGCCAACCGTTTTCCATTATCATGTTAAATAATTGGTATATTTGTAGTCGAATTGGTTGATCGGTTAAAGAGTTACCCATAGTTATCAAATCGGGATTCATATCGTTAATCAAAATAGTCTCGTATCGAATCGCAAATTGTAAAGATTCGGTCACTCTTTCTAAATTACTTAAAAGCATATATCTACACATTTAAATGTTAAATACATCTTATGAACATAAAATATTTAAACTTAAATCAATAAAATGTTAAATTTGAATGATGATCATGTTGTTTAGTTAACAAAAGTTCCTATGTAAGATTACCATCTTACTTTTTTTTTTCTTGTTTAGATATTTCTTATCCACGTTCTTAATAAAGATAATAACCAAATAGACAAACTATCAATTCTAAAGTAACCTTAATTACCAACGATATTGATATTTGGACAATAAGTATGCATACTTTTCTAAGTAATAGTGAGCAAATAATAAGAAAAAATTATTTAGAATATTTTATTTTAAAGCTTAAAACATTTTAAAAGGTATAGCTGACCTCACACATGTGATATTTAATTTAATAAAATAGTAATAGATAGTTCATAGTGTAGCTTTAATCTTAAACATCTTTAGAAGATATATTACGATTTTTTAAAGGGACAAAAAATGAGAAGAAATGTAAAAAATATGTTGGGTCTGACTAAATCTGATTGGATCCTATTAAAAATTTCATGATCACTAAAATAACAACAAATCATGTATATATGTTGGTTATTTTGGTATTAAGTGCTATTAAAAATTGTATTATGTCATTTTCAATAAAAAGATGGAGAAAAATAGAGTCGAAAATGTGTCGGACAGAATAATTTCAAAATTGCAGGAATCATAAAAAGTGAATCGTGCAATTCACTAGAGATTCACTTCCAAAATAGTTTCACTCAGATTCGTATCGATTTTGCAAAAATTGTGAATCGAATCACGAATCGTTAGATTCTGATAATAGAGGAGTTACCCTAAATACCAGTTCGTTAATATATATGAACCCAAGACATTTGGTGCTTATTTGTACCCACTGTAAACGGGTTGTCTGGTTGCATTAGTTCATAAGCATATGTAACAATTATGTCAACTTTGCTTTGATCAAAGTATACCGTGGTTGATTTGATTTGATTACTTGTAGCAGGGTTTCCACTTTTGCTGAGATTGACTTACTACGGAAGATATTGTTACCATATGTAGTACATGGCTTTATCTTGTGTATCTACTCAACAAATGCCATATGTATATGTAGGATCCATCATAAATAAAAAAATAATAGGGGTCACCAAGATAAGCTCGGCGACTTGCTTCTTGGCGAGCATGATCAGCTCGGCAAAGAACTCCAAAGTCGGTGAGCAAGGTCAGCTCGACAACTTGCTTCTTGGAGACCAAGATAAGCTCGGCGAGGAACTTCGAAGCCGAGAAGCAAGGTCAGCTCGGCGACTTGCTTCTTGGCGAGCAAGATGAGCTCGGCAAGGAACTCCAAAGTCGGCGAGCAAGGTCCGCTCCGTGACTTGCTTCTTAGTGAGCAAGATCAGCTCAACAAGGAATTCCAAGGTTGGTGAGCAAGGTCAGCTCGGCAACTTGTTTCTTGGCGAACAAGATCAGCTCGGCAAGGAACTCCAAAGTCAGCGAGCAAGGTCAGCTCGGCGACTTGCTTCTTAGCAAGCAAGATCATCTCGGCAAGGAACTCCAAAGTCAGCGAGCAACGTCAGTTTGGTGACTTGCTTCTTGGCGAGCAAGATCAGCTTGGTAAGGAACTCCAAAGTCGGGGTGCAAGGTCAGCTCGGTGACTTGCTTCTTGGCGAGCAAGATTAGCTCGGCATGGAGCTCCAAAGTCAGCGAGCAACGTTAGCTCGGTGACTTGCTTCTTGGCGAGCAAGAACAGCTCGACAAGGAACTCCAAAGTCGGCGAGCAAGGTCAGCTCGGCGACTTGCATCTTAGGGAGCAAGATCAGCTCGGCAAGGAATTCCAAAGTCGGCGAGCAAGGTCCGCTCCGCGACTTTCTTCTTGCCGAGCAAATTTAGCTCTGCAAGGGATTCTAAAGTTGATTAAAACCATCAATAAACCTCTTGTCGAGTAAAAGCCATCCAACAAGGAATTCCAAAGTTGATAAAATCTTGAACAAACCTCTTGCCGACCAAAATCCGTCCGTCAAAGAATTCTAAAGTTGATAAAATCATCAAGAAACCTCTTGCCGAGCAAAATCCGCCTAGCAAGGAATTTTGATCTTTCCATCAAAATGATCGTTAGTTGCCCTTTGGTCCGCACTAAATACGTTTAGCGAGGCAAATATACAACAATTTTCAAGAAAATGTTCTACTTGTTGCATTACGCCAATGGCAAAAAGGAGTTACAAAAATAGAACTACGAACAAAACTTTAGTCTGGCAGAGTTCAATGTTTTGGAAATGGATCGGCCACTTACATTATGTGAATTTTATGTCCCTTTTCCTCGGTCTTCTTACTGACGTCTTCCAAAAACCGAACTCCTTATATCCCTTCCATGGTGGTTTGCATGGCCATCATCGAAGATATCTTGTCCGACTGTGTGAACCTTTCCCACTACTCTCTTGTTCTCTACTACCGGACTTGTCGTCACGGTAACTACGACTGCATCGTCTTCGACTCGGATGTGCTCATTAATGTGTTGCATGAGTAACTCCATAGTCGACGGTTGATTCATTGTGAGCGAGTCTCTTAGTCGATGTCCAACTGGAAGACCGCGCTTATACTGAGTGATTGTAAGGTTGGCGGGCAATCAAGGATCTCGTTAAAAGTCTCCCAATACTTAGTGTCATACACCTTCAAAGAGTCGCCTGACTCTATCTTTACTCTCAAGAGATGGTCAATTTCATTGGGCATTTTGGCATTTGTCTTAAATCTGGTGACAAATGCCTCTGCCAACTGTTGCCACCCCTCGATGCTCTCCTTCGATAGCCTCTCGAACCATTTTAGGCCAAACTCGCCCAAACTCAATAGAAAAACAAGGCACATGAGCGCATCATTTCGCCTGTGCCCGGCCATAACCTGCCAGAAGTAGCTTACGTGCATATATGGATCAGTCTTTCTGTCATAGAGTGTGAACTTTGGTTGATGGTACCCGGGGGGGAGTGATGTGTTCTCGATCTCTACGAAAAAATGGGTGGTGCTCAACCTTGCCAACTCTCTGTCTGGTGGCGCGTGTGGCGCCAAGCGTGGTTGCGGCATAGTGACCTTTTCATTGGCTCGCCCTCTAGAGACTAGCCGCTACAGTGCAGGCACCCTCTGTGCCTCCTGCCGGCGAGCGCGCTCCTCCAACACATCCCTCAAGTCTTTCGAACGGTCAGAGCGAGAATATCTCAACGCCGTCGTCGGGCGTGCGGGATGGTAACTATTATCCTGCATGCGAGATATCGTCACCGGCGCAACGTAGTCTCCAGCTCTGAAGCTTCTCGTGACGGAGAGTGAAGGGGTGCAACGTCTATTGAGACTGCTGGAACGGCAAGAATGGGCGCGCTCACTGTGGTTTTCCACTCCAGCGATGCCCTTTCTTTTCATCTGGCGTCTCATGGCCTTTATCTCCGTTGCCATTTTCTTGATGATGGTATCTTGGTCTCTCAGCTTGTCTTCCAAGTGTTGAGTGTGTGAATCTAACCGTCGGTGACACTTTTTTGGAATGACAGAGTGCCCAAAACTCCTTGTGCGGAGGTCTCCAAATCAGCCATCGTCGAAATGGCGAACAGGCCATCTCTGCGCTGAACAAACTCTGGCGTGATGCCGTCGATGGCGAACAACGGAATGTCATCGTGGTTCGCCATAATAGATGACCGGAGAAGCTTGGAGAACAAGGTTTTGTTTGTCGAATTCCCACAGAAGGTGCCAATTGTACGGAGAGAAAATATTCGTTACCGCCCGTACTCCTCGCGTCCAAGCTCCGCTCCAATCCGATTAACCTGTGAACACAACGGCGGTGAGCTACCCGGCGGTATGTTGCCAGAAAACACCTCCGACGGTCAAGTTAGCACACACTCAAAGAGAGAGAGAAAAGAGAAGACAAAGTGCTAGAATTTCTCTCACCAATAGATGTTCCATCTCTAGTATGGGGGGCGCAGTCACGTTTATATCCTTTCTGCACTTACCTCTGCGTCCATTTGCCTTTTGACGCGTGGACCTGCTCTCCTATCTCATTTTCCCATGTGTCAGCACAAATATAGCTAAACACCACCTAACCAAACTGCCAAACGGCGTTGGTGCGAACGACCAACCCGGCAGCGCTACCCCAGCCTCCTACGACCATATCACTTTCCGAGAAATATAGTGCTCCTAGCCGAGCTCTATTGCGACCGAGCTTAACAGCCTGTTGCTGTGACCGACCTCCTGCTCGGTTGAGTCGGTCTGCGGAGGGTCCCACTCGCCGAGCTAAATGAGCGAACAGCAGTAACCGGGCTGGCAAAGAATCATCTCGGCCAAATCTGGTCTAAACTTCAACCGAGAAAACTCCACCTGGAACGGCCTAGCCTAGCTCGGCCCAAACACGCTCGGACCACCTTCAACCCGGCCAATACTACGGCCCAATGCTAGATTATGAAATCTCCCTCTCAGTTAGCTTTTTGACTTTTTGATTATTTTAGTCTAAGGCTAAAAAACCTCGTTTGGGAAGGATCTTTTTGATTTTTTTGACTTTTTGTGAGACAAAAAATGTAATGATTATGGGTTAGATGTGATGTTTTGTCTTATTTTGCTAAAAAACCTCCTTTATTTTTTTGTGACTAAAATAATCCTAAAACCAACCCAATCCTTCTTCTCAAACAGAGGCAGAATATAATACTATTTGTTAATTAAAATACTTCGCCTATAGAGGAGAGTGAATAGAAAAAAAATGCATTTACAATACAAAAAAGACTTTTTCAAAACAAAAATGTTTGAGGGCTCGAAATCCCGTTGGCTCGAAACCCAAAACGACGTGATTTTGGGTTTTTTTTTTTGTTCTCTCATCTCTTTTATCTGTGAAGCTGTAGACACCCATTTTTGACCGACCTTGAGACTCAGACGTCACCAGTTGAGCACTTGGTGATATTGCATAATGTGCTCGTTCAGAAGTTTCAGAGTCTTGGCCGTCAGCCCTGCTTCCGGATTTCCGAACCCTCTTCTGTGCCTTGCCTCGGTTTGCGAACCAGGCTCGGTTTTCTCTGTTTCTTTTCCTAAGGGGAGGAAGAGGTCCTGTAGACCATCTCTCAGTGGCCGTGGGCTACATTTTGTGGCTATAGGCCATTTTGCCCATTTCGGAGCCCGGTTCCCAGTTTTCGGAGCCGTCAGGCCATGTGCCTCGGTTCGGGACCGCTCAACCATCTCCATTCGCTCTAATTTTTGGCATGCATCTTATTTACTCCCTTTTGAGGGACACTGGGGTCTGAGAAACCCACTTCGTAGCCGAACACCACTTTCGGTGCTTAGCAGCCCATTTTCGGGACCCCGAACTGCGTGTTTTGGCCCCCGAGCATTCGTTTTGCATCGGTTTTCGTTCATTTTTGGAAGGTACCTCTGTTTTATCACCAGGAAGGTCACTGGAGGGTGGGAGGCCAGCAATTATCTTGGCAACCAGTTATATTCCATTTTCGCCCTCTGGCACCCGTTTTTCTCACTGCCGAGCCAATGTTGAACACCTTGGAGCCCCTTTCTTCAACCCCAAACCACATATTTGTGTTGTACACACATGGGAGGATCCTAATATCATATGGCCGGCCAGAAATTCCATTTGACCCTTTTGAACCCCTCCTAAAAATGGCTTGTTCTCTC